CATATTGTTTATTGTCGCAATATGATTGAACTTGATATAGGTTGTCAGTTTTTTCAAACTTCTTTTTTTTTTTTCTCGAAGAAAAAAATAAGAATTTCAATATATTTTTGTTAAAAATTGATTATTATGTTTCAAACCAATGAGATTACTGAAAGTATATTTAATGTATTTTATAACATATCATAAATGATGAAGGCGTTGGCGCAAAACGGATATTTGTCGTTCATTTATTTTGAGATATTACAAAAGAAACAGACTATTACGTTTTTATGATGAAAGAACGTTCTAGATAATTCTCAGCATACTCATGTTTTATTTCGTTGCATATACGCTAAAAGTAAAAAAAAAGTAATTAAACTCAATTTCTTCACTGTCAAAGATTACCTTGTTATTTCTAGGTTATTATGGTTGAGAAGCTGTAAGACTAATGGTAATGAGAGAAAAGTCTGTTTTTCTTCTCGTTTTACTCCTTGATTAACTTAGATTGCAACGGATCAACTTGTCGAAGCAAAAGAAAAACAGAAAGAAATATCTTCAGCAACTTTGTTTCTAACTTTTTTTTTTTTCTTGATAACATAATTGTGAAAGGAAAAGAATAGATATATTGAAGATGATTATCTTCAATAGAAGACTATTTAGTTTTTTTTTTCTTATAGATTATAACCAGGCGAAAAACACACAAATGCATTGTTACCAATTATATATACTCACAATATGTTTTATCATTGGTTTTCAACAACAGATTAATGCCAAACCTATCGAAGATTTGACTACAGTAAATTTTATGATATACCAAATAAAATATGATTATTTTTTCTTTACCAGACTACATCCGCAACATCATTAGCAACCACAACTAATGAAACTAAATCGATTTATGCTGTATTACCTCCATATTTCCAGATGGAACCTTTCTTGATGCTATTTCCATTTCCTCAGCCACAAACAAATTCACTTTAAAGAATACATATAGCAATTATAAGATATTTTTCTGCTAAAATCTTGTTTTTATGTTCAACACATATTACCGTCCACGTAGTAATGGCATCTAAGTTCTATATTAATTGTAACAAGTATGACTTAATAAAACAATCATAATAACTAAGAAAAGCTTTTACTTCTTTTTCATATACGTATAGATAAAATACGAAACTGCAATCGAATTTGCTTTTGAAATATATATTGATAAAACCATTAAAATTAGGCATGTGCCGAGTCGAACTTCCGTGGTTTGATCGTTCACATGGTTTCAATAATAATAATCAGTAGAGGAGACGTACAAATAGATAATTGGTTTTGTGAAGTTTTTACATACGTAATACTAATTTAGTCCTGTTTAAGATAAACACGACCCGTCTATTAAATTCAGAAGTGATAGAACACAAAAGTTAATTCTAACTTGAGTTTTATGACATTCATTTGAATTGAATGTTCAACTGTTTGATTTAATGAGGGTTTTTTCACATTGAGTAAAAGTATTCTATGAAGCTTGAAAACGATGCTAGGAGTCGAAATTTATTGCTAAACTTTTTCTTAGTTTGATCCTAATTAAGGTGTAGGGACAATGAGTTTTATTCGGTATTTAAAGAAAAAACTTTAGTGATAGAAATATTTTAAGAACTTGATGAGTGGTTTTCATTCCAACTGATTACCTATTTGTGTATTCATCATCCGACTATGTCTCCATCTCTCAATCCATCTGTCTATTGACCTACATATGCGTATCTTACTGTGTACTTATGTACTTATCTATGCATCTAACTATCTTTACAGCTACAAATATTTCTATGGAATCGGCTAGACCTATTTAATAATGTATTTGACTTTCTGTCTATCAACATTTGAGCTCAATCATCGTAAGGTGAAACATTATTTGAAAAAGCTTGAAGCCGTATGAAAATTGATGTGTTGATGATTGAAGTACTACTACCTGTTAAAAAATATGGCCATCAGTATTTTTGCAATAACTGAAGCACGGAAAGAGCTATAGAGTTACGATTTTCACCAGCCGAAAGAGGAGACATCGGGACGTATTTTTCTTCAATATAATATAAGACGAAATCATTCTAAGATGAATTTTTTTACAAAATATCGAAAGAAATATATAAAAATGATGTGTCGTTCAGATCAAATTTTAATTAAATGTTAGAAAATTTGCTTAAAGATTTTAAAAAATTCATATTTATGAAAAGATAGAAATTCAAGTTTCGATTCTCTGGTTAGAAAAGTGACAACAAATTCATACAGACGTTTCTAGAAAATCAAGTTTCATATTCCGATCTGAACATTTTCCAGTGCATAAGGAATCTACTAGGGTTTTTATTTTCGAGAGAAGAAACGTCTAGTTAATGTTTTCAGCTAATTAACCTCAGGGGCGTAGCCAGGGGATGCATCGACTGTCCAGACACCCCCCTTGACCAAGAAACATCTGAAGGAGGTACGGGTGAAAAATCTTTCCAAGAAACAAAAATTTATTTTGCTGCTGGTGTGCACCCTCCATAATGAGTCGGGCACCTCCCTTAGAAAATTCCTAGCTACACCACTGATTGACCTATAATTTCAAACGGTCTTTAGGTGAGGAGGAGAAAACTTATTTCCTGGTTTCTTTGATGTTTGATGATTTCTGGTGAATTCTAATAATTTCTATTACTCGAAATCAGTTTTTATCTGTTCATCCTGAATCAATAGAAATTTGAGCTCTATTTTCAATCTTCTTACTTGATATGGTCTGTCATTTAAAATGATTTTCATTAAATTCGAATGATTTCTAATGGCTTCTGATGATTTTCGATAAGTTTTAACGGCTTTCGGTCATTACTTATATTTTTTAACGCGCGTTATAATGTTTGCTTGTGACTTTCAGTGATTGCTAGCATGGAAACCAGTTTGTTCTCCTTTGGCGTTGCAGTCCAAATAAGTGATATCACTTAAATATAAAAAATCCAAAGTGAAGTGTTTTGTTGTTGAAAAATTAAAGAAAATAAATAAATATCAAGCAAAATGCTTCATAAAAACATTATTAACAAGGAAAATGTGAAAATATCAATACAACTAACCATATAATTGCTGAAAAAACATTCTTTCACAATTCAATTAAGAGAGAAAAAAGTTTAAGGAAAAACAATAATTGATAAAAAAATAATTTCGATCAGGAAAAAATGGTTTGAAATACGCTATTCAAAGTAAAATACAATAATATTATATAAGAGCTCGTATGCAATTTGAAAAAATAAAATGATGATGAATAATCAATTTCATAATCAGAAAATTTTTTCATCTCTAATCTTCTTTTCATAAATAAGAAATAAATGAGTATTATGTGTCCGTTCATACAACATAGACTCATTTCTCCTCTTATCTTCATACCAATCAGACGTATATAAAGGACAGAGGCGCATAAGAACCTAATTTGATCCATAGGATTTTTTCACACTGAATCCAACACAATCATATATACAGGATGCAAAAGCTTTAATTGGTGCGTGTGTTGATGTCAAACTTGAGGTACCGTAGTCTTGCAAATCAATTTTGAATATGTAAAGTGTAGAAAGCCGTCTTCTACTATAGCTTGTGGAACAGAAATTTTCATAGACTACAGAATCTAATAGCTTTTTAGAAATAAAAGGTCTGAGTCACGAAAAAGTTTAGGATCATGCTGTAACAATTGTGTCTATTTTATGGTATGGGTGTAGATACAAGCAAGACCTGTGTTCTACTCATAGACCACATCTAGCTCCATCCACATCTCACATCCACACATTCATACCGCACACTCCATAGTTACATATTCTAAAGACCAACTATAACAATAACATTATGCATTTAGTATTGTTTGTAATTATATCTTTATTTTACCGTGTTCGAATAATATTCATTTGAGCTGGCTTGCAGTTTCAACAGTTTCCTGTCTCTCTTGTGTACGATTCCCAGCGCTTCCTCTATACACATATCATTTTGATGAGTAGGAAAGCAAAAGAAAAATTATTGTTTCCAATTTATATTTATTCGTTTCTGGAGGTCTGTCTCCATTCATTTTCCTGTGTTTCTTATTTTTCTTTAAAAGAATGGTATACAAGCACAGTAGTAAATTCCTGTAGCAAGAATTATTATTAGATTCGTATTAGATATGAGTAATAGTTTTCTGTTTAATGTTTCTGTTCGACATTGTTTAAATGTGGCAGTATTTACTTAACTGACTCCTTTGATAGAAAGAGGAAGGGTATCAATAAGCCATATGGCTACTAGGTCGACATAGCTAATGCTCCTTAGGTAATTATTTAGCATCGTTTAGTCAACTTACATGTCGATGACAATATGAATGGCCCATCATTTTTTATGTCCTATTTAACTTTTGAAAAAAAAATAACAAGAACAGAAAATGTTACTATACTTCTTAAAGACCTACTAAAATAATATGCAGGCATTTCATGATAATGTTTTCACTTCTCTTATGGTATTTATAATAGGATTATGGTTGTCCATCCGAAGAGTCACCTAGCGAATCATGTTAGAAGCTGATCTCTACTAGTTTTTAGAGAAACAGTAAAAGAAATATGTTATACTATACATAAAACTGACATCATTTTTACAGTACGGCCCTAGACTTTTTTGGTACACTTTTTATAACTACAAAAACTATAGACTTTTATTTTCTTTTATTTACATATTGATCAAATAAGACATTATGTGGTGTGAACAGTATATATGTATCGTTCAATGAACGAGAAATAGTGATTACAACCAGACAAATCACTGATTTATATATATATATGTAAGATATGATTTAAGTGAATTGTCATTGAACTCTGTTAGTTTTATTGTTTATGTTTGAATTATAATTGAGCTTTTCTTTGTATTTGCAATTAATCAGTTAGTATACTTTATTTTTTCATGTTAAACAAACAAAAGATTAAATATCTTAGAAGAGTTTTTCAGCTAATAGGAATATATCAAAATAATGTCTAATTTGAAATTATTATTTAGGTAATATTAAAAATTAATTAATAGACTTTAAGAGAATTATCATCGAGACATGCATCAATATGTTGACCTGAGTCCTTATTAAAGATCATAATGTAATCGATATAACGTGTTCCCACCGATAATGGATAAGAAAATGATTGAAAAGTCCAGTTATACGTGAATGTAAGTGTGGGCGTAGTCGTTGTTGATATCAAACTGTGATTCAATGTTCGAAAGGCTAAACTAATTTGAGCTCTATCTATTGTGGAAGATACATGGCTACTTAGTTCATAAAAACTGACGTAAACCGACAAATTACCACTATCCAATTGAGCTTCTGTATATCCGTGAGTATCATTAAGTAAGAGAATACTTTGTGTTAGATTGCTATTTGAGTCAGTACTACTTATACCACCATGAAAATACTTATCGCCACGATAAGGATGACATCCGGTGTTTATCGAACCATTATCTATTCTTGCCGTAACTGGACCACCATCGATCCATGGAAAAATAATACCATCTTCAGCACCTGGATTAATGAGTAAGTTCGGCGGAATCATCGTAGTAGTTGCTATATAGAATAGAATTAATAATAAAAAAGGATCTTTGTCGAATATGTCATACTTGTTTCTGTTGTGCTTGCTAAAACATAAATAGCGAATGATTTATTAATGTAAGAGAGAATCAAATATCTTTACTTGTTGATACTGTTGTTGTTGTTGTTGTTGTTGTTGTTGTTGTTGTTGTTGTTGTTGTTGTTGTTGTTGTTGTTGTTGTTGTTGTTGTTGTTGTTGTTGTTGTTGTTGTTGTTGTTGTTGTTGTTGTTGTTACTGAAGTAATAATGGTAGTAGTAACAGTTGAACTCGGAGATATTAGATAGAATATTTCAGAATATAAACGAAAGAAATATTACATTACTTATTAGTCGTAATTATCGTTGAGAATTTTGCTCATTACAAAAAAAATCAAGCAATAAGCAGTTGTTTTAACAAATAATTCAAAAACAACTTTTATTATTTCTACATAGTTATTACAAAGTTTATAAAAGAAATATTTGGCTGATGCCGATACAAAGATATGTAATTAATCTTTATAAGTAGCAACTAATAGGCATTATATGATTAGACAAAATTTTTTGTAAAAGTAAAAAATTTTCCTTTAGAAAGCTTCACGTATATCTATAAAGAATAGATTTTATGAAAAATATTGTCTTTTAGGTTTTTGAAAAATAAAAATAACCATTGAAATAATATTACTACTTCATATGTTTCTTGTTGCCTGAGAGTTAAAAGAATCCCAAGTATACTTCAGACTACGATTTTATAGCTCGAAAAAGAAAAAATCATTGGTCATATGTGATGTAGTGCCTTTTTTAATTATTTTCCTTGCCCAGTCAGGAAGCGTTGAAAAAAACGGCGTTTTTACGCGTAAAAAGGGCATACTTTAATGCATGATGAAATTTTAGTTGTTTTCGAAAAATAAAGGAAGCTTGCGAATGTCAACGTTGTGGAAATCATTTGATTAGAAACAAAAAGGGTGTTTTAACGGATCAAAATGTGTGCTTTTTAGGCGTAAAAACGCCGTTTTTTCAACTCTTGTCTGACTGGGTAGTAAAAATGATGACTACAAGACACACAAAGCAAACATTGAGAGGAACTTAGCCAGATATTTGATTTTGAGACACAAAAAACTTTTATGCTTGCTTACAATACATGAATACAAGGAATGGTACAACAACAACAACAACAACAACAACAACAACAACAACAACAACAACAACAACAACAACAACAACAACAACAACAACAACAACAACAACAACAGTATCAACAAGTAAAGATATTTGATT